TGGAAAATCATAATTTCGACAAAAACGAGGATAAAGTTTCAAAAGCGCTTTCAAATGCCTGAGATGCGTGCAAATTCCAAAATAACAGTCGGATCGACTTTAATTTTTAAGAGTATTTACTTGAGTAGATTTACAAAAAAAAAAATTAAAAAAAAATAAATTTTTCAAAAATCCTAACTAAATTTAATTGTTATAATTTTAAAGAAATTTGAGGATAGTGGTTGGGCTACAGATATTGTAAGGACTGTGTAACATCGTTTAATTCGTTCCACCTCAGATATCGCTACTCTGAGTGAAAGTGTAGCCAATGACCCGAATCTCTCTATTTCTCGACGTTCTCAAGAGCTGGGACTTGATGAGAATATGGCGTATTTTGCACTTGAACTTACCAGTCCAGCTCATACAAAACTGAGGCGAGTTGAACATTGACAACGCCATACATAATCAATTGAATGCTTGAACACTCTGGAGGTGTGACTGGACCTTAGTTCCTTAAAATCGACAACGTCGAGAATGTCACTGTCAATTCGGAGCTTTATGGGTTTCAATAAGATGTTGGCATATGCCGCGCAACACGAGCGAATATGTCTTTGTTATGAGAAAAACAATGGTGTAGTGTTCATATGCAAATTCAAGGTTAAAACTTTGTAATCAAAAAGGAGTTTCTTGAAGAAAATATTTTATGTGCATTTTACATAACATTATATTCGAAGCTACTAAATGGATAACCTTCTACCATAACCCAGAAACATTTAATTTTAATATCCAACAGTAAGCCACCACTATACAGGGATCCCAAATAAGCAGATTTTGCCTTCTTTTGGCACTCGAGTTTTGGGGAAAATAGTCTTAAATGTAAAAGAGTAATAATGTATTTTATATAAAGTATTATAGCCCAAATCTTTATAAGTAGATTTCCTAATGATTTCGAAGTTACTTTCATGAAATACCATTGAGCTAATTACCCAAACAACTGAAGCCTCTTTTAAATGTATATATTTTTTTTTTATCCAAATATTTTTTTAGGAGTTTTTACTGCATTTTGTTTAAGAAATTCTCTCGTAACACCTCATAATGATGTACCCACGATAAATCCATTTTACATATTATTAATGTTATCGGGTAACTAATATTGGGTTCAACCCTATCATGGATATTATTAAAAGGTATTTGGGTCCTCCTTGAACTTAAGTTTCTCTAAAATTAGATCGAATTTCACCAGGGGTCAAATAGTCAACCATACAAAAGGAAAATGTGAATCGTATTAGCCGGGGATCATAACATAATACCCAAGACGGAACGTAATTTTTATTCCCATACGCAATATATATTATGTTTCACTAGTGTTTTGCAATAGAATGCAATTTTACGTTAACGTAGAAGTGAGTTCAAATTGTTAAAAAAATATTTCTTTTAAACTGAAATAAGCTCTTAGATCTTCAACCCAAGTGTTGAAAAACTGATGAAAAAATTAGATTCAATCAGTGAGAGAGATCAAATTATGTATACAGAGTGCAACGTTTTATTGTATATGAGTGGCCCTTAGCGTACCCTTCAGATCGCTTTGATGCCTTCGACTACTTCAAAAAAAGGCTCCTTACTTAGGTTTAGTATCTTCAGAAATGTTGTTGGAAGACAGAATTAAATTAATATACATACAGATTTGTGATTCGATCTCAGAGTTTGATTTTCAGTGAGCGAAAAAATTTTCAACGCTCCTCAATAATTTTATAAAGGAAATCTCTCACAAGAGACTGATCCTCGTATTGCACTGTTTTTCTGTGCCTTCTGACTTACGTATTATTTTTCTAATATTTAGACTTGAGTAGGTTCACTGCAACTTTACTGAGGAGCAAACTGCAAGTGCTGTTTTATAGTTGCCTAGTGTTCCAGGCTTTATGGGTAATTTTTTAATGACAAGAAAAGTTTTATATACAATTCCCGTGCGACTAGTGGAAAATTTTCTTAAAATTAGCCGATATATAAGATTCATGACAGTTAGGTTCAAGTGCATAGCGTCCAAGTACGTTGATTAAACGGGATTTAAGAGACGATTAGTTGATTTTAAAAGAGTGCTGATGGAGAATTAATTATAGAAATGCGTAAGAAGTTGATGTAAACTGTTGGGTTTTAACAGCGAGGTATAGCCGTGAAGGAACAAAAATAATGTCTGCTGGGAATTCATTTATGAATTGAAATTATCACTTGTAAATAATACTTTCGTTGACATACGAATCTACGGAGTAGGTGACTCGAGAAATATGTATGCTTGACCATTTAAATTTTTTCAAGTTTGGCTTTATTCATCGTCTGGTCTTCAAATGCTTCACGGAGGCCGCATTATTATTATAACCGCTGTCAATGGTAGTTTCCTACTTAAGATAGTCGATGAATATCCGTATTAAAAACTTTACCATCCGTATTTTGTGGTTTCGGACTAAGGTTCACCAGTTGCTGTCTACACAAATACTACTTAGAGTTGCCAAAAGACGGCAGACATTTTGAACAGATCCTTCTCATAGTCAAATGCTGACGCAATATAAAGTCAACTGATTCTTTTCACTTTTCGATCATTAGAAACGATTTTCTGTATTTTTTATTTAGAACTTTGTCAAGTTTTTTAGTGCCAGATCCGAATATCGACACGCGGTTTTTAGCGCTTTACAATTCGCTCTGGGACAATGTTATTGCAAAATAAAATTTGTAATATGATATAAATAACATAATTTCATTACGAGTGAATTAAAAAAAAAAGAGTTTTTAATTTTTACTATTGGATGAGTGCATAAGTTCGTGCCCGATTTCAAGAGCAAACTAAAATTGAAATTTTTTGAAGAAAGCGCTTTTATTAATCAATTATGTATTCGCCATCATGTTCGGCAATCCACTCCCAACGTTCAACCAATTTACGGATGCCTGNTGTGGATACATACATATGTTCGAATGGGGCTACTCGGAATACGTGGAAATATGTATATGCGTGTGTTATATGCACATAGTTTGATATATATATATTGTATATAGAAATACTAAAAAAATGTCAGGAATCGGGCACGAACTTATGCACTCATCCAATATTTGTAAACAACATCCGATATCCGGTCTGCGGCATAAATCGCTGTGGCGTGGGTTTGTATATTTTATTTGTTGTTGCAAAACACATTGAAAATGTAAAGTATGAGCTTCATTCTAATCAATCCATATCAAGTTATGTTAGAAAGATGGCTTTTTGTTTGTTCAAATACGTTTCGTAATAGAGAATTCAACATTTATATTTTTGTTGTTATATATTTTTTAATGTGTACATAAAAACTAGTGTCATTGTTTTGTTCTGTATTTCATTCCAAACGAATCTAGTTAATATTCTATTATCTTTGGTTTTATGAGCATCTTCCCGAACCCTAAAAAAAACTCTGAAAATTACTTGGCATTTTTCGATCGGTTTTTTAAAACAATCAGTTGACTAATTAACGTATTTTTCAAAGATAAGTTGTGGCAGTATATAATATCGGTCCATGAAGGGTTAAAGGGTCATAAAACTTAGGATATGTTCGCACCAAAAATATTTTTGTTCTTCAATTTTTTCACTTGCTTTTTGATTATTTTTTTGACGTTTGTGCACAACATTGCCATTCATTTTAAGATGCCGCGAGCTAATAAAGCTCTTGATTTTCGCTAGAAGTCAGAATTACCCCCTGAAATATGTCCAGCATTTAGATTAATAGATTCAGAAGGTGCTAGGATTTTTTATATTTTTTGTAAATTTTAGTATTTTTAATCAAAATTTTTTGAAATGATGAGCCTGATACATAATGATGAGCTTGGGGCAAATTTACTATACTTTTCGTCATTTAGATATCATGAAATGATGACTCAAGTGCTTATTTATATATAGTTGGTGTTTTCTAACCACTCAAGCGAGTTTTGTCCGAGACCTATACATATTTATGGTATCCATCTTGATGTTTTCCCAACAAATAGGGAGGCATTTTTTATTTCATATCAGAAATACAATGGATTCGGAGGCCTTGACATTCCCTGGCCCTTAGAAAACTTACAGTACACATGGGCAATATTGTGGCCACAACCCAAAGTGCTTATTTATACAATAAACTTTATTTTATATTTTTCAGCTGCGCTGATGTGTTTAATAAAATTTTATATACTTTTTATTCAATACAACCGAAAATGGTTTGGTACCACTTTGCCTCTTTTCAGACTACTCAACTAATAAATAGTTTAAGTCCTCACTACATGGATGTCTCAAAGAGTACATACGTGTATGCATATGCACACAGACATTGAACCATTTAGTCGCTGTGCTAAAGCTGGCTGTATCTTGATCCTATTCTGCTTAAATCCATTGTCTAAGCGATGAATGGGTTGGACTGCTGAGTGATGCAGCTCACATATCTGTCGTTTCGGCTGGTTTAGCTATATATATGCCAATGGCGAAAGAGCTGTGTGGTTGCTTGCTAGTCCGTACGCTAGATACTAACTACAGCACACATCGCTCCTTTCGTTCCTGCACACGTAACACCGCGTCACTGTTCACCATTGACAAAATCCCTATTGATTTATCGCGTTCACATAATGGCAAAAGAAAGCTTAATAGATAGGAGGACTCGCTGTAGTCACTAGCCGCTCAGCCGATACTCTTCATTATTTTAGCAAACACATATGTGGATACATACATATGTTCGAATGGGGCTACTCGGAATACGTGGAAATATGTATATGCGTGTGTTATATGCACATAGTTTGATATATATATATTGTATATAGAAATACTAAAAAAATGTCAGCGGCAAAGCAATTGCCATGTATTACGAACCGATTCATCTAAACCCCCACCGCACACAACCCACGAATTTCGATAGGAGTAGCATATCAATTCGCAGCACATCCCCACTCATGCTTGACACAATGTGCATGTGAAAACTCGTTAACTACAAACTATACACCATATCATGTTATGCTCTTGCAGCACTTTTACTTACCTTGCAGTCGTATTCGCGCTTCGCTTTTGCCCAACGCATTGACGCTGGAACAAGTGTAGGCGCCAAAGTCGGCCTTTGTCAAATGACGTATTGTCAGGTTGAGATGCCACGTGTACAAGTTAATCATTGCCTCCGATATGTTGTACTTGTTGCTGCTGTGCAACTTCAAGTTGCCTGTGTCGTGGAGGTAATACCATCGACGGAGATAGGATTTGCAGAAGAAAAACAAAAGTGACATAAAAATCGTGTAAAAATGGGGGAGAAAAAGAGTTCAGTGGAAAAAGAGACATTGAGTTGCATGAGAAATGACAGGCAATTACGTCAATTACATTGGCTTTAGTACCACTGTTAATGGCAAGTAGCAACGAGTAGACTCGACGCATTGCACTATGCTTAAGTTGCAGATATACATTACCTTCATTGCGATACCAGCCATTGAGCGGTCTCGGATACACTTCTACAATACATTCAAGTGTGACTTCTCGTTCAACGGGCGCGCCGAGTAACTGATTGACAGCCTTAATTGACGGTGAAACTGTAAAAAGTTAAAGATATGTTAGTAAGAACTATTTGAAAGGCGGGTGGTATGATCATTTTCATTTTGTTGTTGTTCATTATCTGTGAAATACATTTATTGTTTCTGTATAAATATGCTAGAGCTTTGGGCTGAACTTACACCCATGAAAAGGTTGTAATTTTCTTTTCAAATATTCAGATTGAAGTATAATTTACATTTTTTCACCAAATGTTTGGCAGAAGAAAATTAAACGACTTAAAAAACATAAGAATGGTAATTAAAAATTGGAATCCGCGTCTAGTTGCATTTTAAGCACATTTCATGTCAAACCGGTTGGGATATTAAGGGTTTTTTATGTGAAAACTAACAAATACATTATAAGGTCCTGCCGTTCTAAGAGTTTATTGTTAAAAAGTCTGAGTTCAGACAGTAGTAGAGTAAATTCACTCAACCAATTTTTTTTTAATTATAAATAAAAATTATGAATAATTGTTTTAGTGACAACCACAGCTGACTGCGAAATTTAAATAGAAAAGATAAATCTTGTCGGGGCGTATGAGCAACCATTTGCCATGAGTTCACAGACGAGTAAAGTAAAAATAATAAATTCTGCAAAAATCTCCCAAACCTCCTTTGTTTTAAACAAAATAAATTTATTTTGTATTGAATGAACAAGGGGGGAAGGGTATGGGTGTAGAAGCTCACGCAAGTGAAAACAGTTTTTGGCTGCTACTCAAAGCGGCCCCAATAAAAAAATTTTGCTGAAAAAGAAAATCAGTCGCATAGTCTTGTCATTCTAAGACTGATGGATTTCGCCAGGAGTTGAAAAATAATCATGTATAATACCAGATTCCATTGTATAAAAATTCATCAAGCTACCTGATTACGAAACCACACCCTTAATTTTGTGAGGGAAGGAAGATATCTCTCAGCGTAAGAGAGCTGTAAGATGACATTTGAAAACACTTAACTTGAAGACTATGGGAAAATTACGGTGAGTTGGAGAGGGTACCGAGATGCATTTAGACATGAAAAGATATGCGGTGAAATGCGGTGACTTACAAAAAGTTTTACGACTGCAGGTTATTAATTTAGGAACAAGATAAACGAACTGTTGACTGCATTGAGAGCATAATTAGTGTTGGGCAATAAACTTCAGATTGCATAATGTAGAGAGAAAAAAATGATAAGAGTTGGCCAAAACCGAAACTCCAATCCATGATGACAGTATAGATGTTTCATCACACTATTATGACGAAGTCTAAACTAAGATCGTTTAAAGAGTAACAAAGCGAGCGGAGCCGTTGGCTAAATCTCCCCGATAACAAACTGGACAAACAAAATTTGGCCCTAATCATTGTGGCTTTATACCTGGTAAGCCTACCATTGACCATATATTCACCAAACACCAAAGACAAAGGTCGTTGAAATGCGGATCGTGCTGCAAAGCTGAATAGAAAAGGAGTGAGTGTAGAGCTGCCTGCGCACGTCAATGATGTTCACTATCATTTACAGCCACGTTGGGAATTCTGCTTTTCCAGATTGAGTAAAAAAGCAAAGTATAACACTCTTACAAAAAGTGCAACTTTAGACTGAGTAGACAATTAAAAAGTGAAGGCATCTTTCGACGTACTAAATAAAGTCTTACAAGCCTCTTATCACTTTCAGCATGCTGTATGGTACAGAAGTGATTAAAATTTATGGTCGTTTGCACATCGGCAACGGCGAAAGCCTCAGTCTTTGAAACGATGAGCTGTACGAGATAAATGGACATTGACACAGTTCAACCAATTAAGAGACAGCAGCTCGCCCATGTTGTCCAAATGGAAGAGTACACCCCAGCTGAGGAAGATCTTCGCGAGGTCTTTAAAGACGTCCACTCTTTCTATCTGACTATTTATGGAACACATTTAAGAAACCCAGAAGATTGTGTGTAACAACTCATTTATTTATTGTTAAGTACGAAGGTTTACTGGACAAGCCACTTTAGGGTGCAAAATGGTAACGTATTGAATTTAACTGCAAACCCTAACCCCACTGACTCGTCGACTTATGCATTGCTGCTCATGCAGCATAAGAGCCATCAAAAACTTTTCATATCTTCCCATCGTGGAATGCGACTTCTGATTTGTTGTTTACTCTCTTTGATTGCTTATTCATTTTTATTGTGTATTTACTATTTGCCATTTTAACATCTGTCCTCGACAAGGCCATGGCTTTGACTTGTCCTATCTATCTATCCCCAGCTGGTATATTTTCAGTTTATTGCTTGCCACATTTAGAACAACTCAATGCTATAAATAAGGCGGATTAAAGCGCTTAGCTTCGCGTCTATTATTTGCAAAATTGTCTTATATACAAACATATCTACTATACATAGTAAAAGCGAGTATATAATATACCGGTAGCTCAATGTAGCGTTTTCAATTTAACTACGATAACTTTAAGGGGTATTTCAATATACCGCTATTATTTATTGTTTGTCTACAAGCTGGTGATATGACTGATTTCAACTGAGTTTTTTGGGTTTCATACAGATCAGTGTATGTAAATTGGCTTTTACATAAACACTGTGAGTTCATTTACATCGCACTAAAATAGCCAATATGCATGTACGAGTTATGACCTCTACAAATAACATTGAGTAAAAACTAAAAAATAGTAAAGAGTGACATTTGTACCCTAAAAACCTGTGAGGGAATTCTCCACCGTATTATAACGATTTTCGGATCGCAAAAATGACTAGGCGATTATTATAATGATTTTAATATTCGGTGTTCTTATTTTGTTGTCGCAAACTACCCGACAAATCGCTAATACAGTGAAAAATATTTTTGGTTTATTTTTAAGTTGTTAGCGATACCGACAAAAAATTGTTATTTCTTTAAAGTTAGAATAAAGTAATTTACATGATATAAAATTCAAAATAAAATAATTAATAAAAATGCCTTTTGACTACCTTGCATACGTTTTATGCCAAGATGAAGAGGTATAGTGACCTTCATCATTGAATTCCACTTGAATGCAATTGAGCTTTTAAATAGCCAACTAAAACGCAGAAGAATAGCAGCATTTTCTGCGGATAAACAGGTAAAAATATAAGGTTTTAACACTATTAAAATGTTTAAAGGTTCTAACTGCCTTGCGATCCTTAGCTACTGACTGCTACCAAGGTTCCGTTGGAGAGCAATGGAGAATACGAGGAAGATTATTTCATGCAAATGCTGACTGTGACTCTTCCAACATTTCGGCCGGTATGTCACAAATTAGTGCTTCAATGTTGTCCTCCAATGCGTCAATTGAAGCGGGTTGGTCTGTATAAACATTAGATTTAACAAAGCCCCACAAAAAATAGTCTAAAGGCGTTAGATCGCACATTCTAGGCGGCCAATTGACTGGTCTCGAACGTGAAATAAAATGTTCACCGAACTCGCCTATTAATATGTCCCTTGTTAGGCGTTCTGTGTGGCATGTGGCACCGTCTGGTTGGAAACACATGTCAGGCAAGTCAAGCTCTTACATTTTGGGCAAATAAGTTTGATATCATATCACGGCAACGCTCACCATTCACTGTTACGTTACGATTCGCATCATCTTTGAAGAAGTACGGTTCAATGTTGCCACCAGCCCATAAACCGCACCAAACTGTGACTTTTTCAGGATGCATTGGTAGCTCTTGATCTTCACTTCAAACTCAACAATTTTGCTTATTTACTCACCCATTAAGCCTAAATTGAGCTTCGTCGCTGGAGGCATTTTTTTTAACAAAGCACGCACTTCGATAATAAATTTCATTAGTTTGCAAGCATTGTTCGTTTGTGAGACGATTCAAGGTTAAATTATAGACCAAATATGATGGAAATGTTCGTTGTCGATTATCGCAAAAGCTGAGTTAGAAAATGGCATAATCGTTAGCGCAAGCTGAAAAATTCCTAAGTTTGCTATCCGAAAAATCGTGTCGATAAAAGTTACAGAAGTTCAACACTGAAGTTGAATGGAGCAGAATGAAGTACTTCACAAAACTTAGAAACCAACCCAACTTGTTAGTTTATGCTTTGTGTAACTCATCCGGAAATTCCCGTCTGCAATGAGAAGATGGACTCCACCATAGCTCGAAAAGAGCTCAGAGTTTACTCGAATTCACATGTTTTTAATTTAGTTTTTAAGTTATCACATAAATTCTGGATTCATACTTTTCATTTCGCGGAGTCAAAAAGTTCAAAACTAAGCATAAAGTTATATCTAGTGAATAAACTATTATATTTCACAGCTAACTAAATGATTAGTTTACAATAACAATTTTGGTAGTTCTATTTATGAAGCTATTTTATAAATAAAAAGTATGATATTTTATCCCAAAAGAGTAGCTTAAGAGATCTGTATTTGATTTTGCAATGACATGCTTTTGGATAAGGCGGATACAATTGTTGCGAATGAGGAAAAAATGTTACCAGACACTGTAAACGTTTTATTTTGTTACTGGAACTTGAAACAAATTTTTAAAATCGATTTGTTACGTATCAATGAATATTTGCTGGGAGTATTTACTTAAAGTGTTTTCTTCTCTTTTTTCTTCAAACCTTCAGAAAGCAAGTTACTGCCGTCTAACAAGATCGGTGCGAAGCTCTGAGCTGGACTGTATACGGATTTCTGTTACAAGTCTGTTGGGTTTTTCATTTATATATGTTTATAATTTGTGCTTCGTACCTATGAAAGTAGAGCTCCTGATCCAATTTGCATGTTTGATACTTTTTTTTTGAATAAATAGGGGGGTTTTCTTAGCCACTCTGAGGGGTGAGGAAATGAGAAACTATTTTCTATAATTCGAATTTTGGTTTGTTCATAGTTCGTTACCAAATTATGTTTTCTGTGTACAAGAATAAAGCATATTATAATATAATAATATATAATTACCATATGATAGTTAAATCTCTTTACAAGTGGTAGATTTTGATTATATTTGATTAGATAAAAGTCGCTTTTATGGTAAGCATTGGTATTCATTTCAAGCACTATAG